CTATTAGTGGACCAACATACATTATGGGCAGTCTACACTGATTCCGTAATTGCACACCCTAATGAATCTGCTTTTTAGTTCAAGAAGGACGTGACTCGAAGTCCACTAAAGCCTATTAAAAGACTTGCTTTTTACTATACACTTTGAAGTCTGTTCCCACAGCCAACCCCATTATGGGGCTAAGTTTAAAAAAAAACAGATTTTCTTTGTGATTTAATTTCACAAACATGGCTGACAAAGGCAGAGAATTAGACTATAAAAATACTTATCATTGCTAGAAATAAAAAAAATTGTATAAAACTAAGGACCTTCTTCCAAATGAAGGGGTACATCATTGGTACATTCTGGCTGAGTGAGTTGAAACTAGATCAGGTTTTGAGTGCTGTGGGTTCTGGCTTCTGGGCTGGGAGAGTCAAAGGTAGCTGGGTGTGATGTTACCATCATCACTTGTGGCAACAGTAACTGATGTGTCTTAACCTCACTAATCCAGTGAGCCATTAACTTCAGTAGGAGTTTTGACACTGTAACCTGTACAATAATGGAGCACTGATAGCATGTGTTCAATTAGAATTCATAGTACGGTAAATCCAAAGAGGAAATTGGATGGCTGCAAATAAATATCACTTTTGTGCCGCCATAATTTTTATGGTGATGCACAACCAAAGTCAAAAGGCATCTTAGCCTTTTGTCACACTACAAATGCCTGATTTTCTTTTTTTAGTATGATGATTGTTAGTCATAGTTTTGTGCTGTGCTGCCTTTTTGCAGCCAATATCTGTTCACTTATGGCAGGGGAGCACTGGTGTTCCTGAGACTCAGGATGCTGATCCTGTGCATTCCCTGAGGCATGTGTTCCTCACTGAGCCCTACTGGAGTAGAAGGGCTCCTTCACTTGCAGATGTATACCATGAGTCAGGGCACAGCACCTACAGCTGTTATCCCACAGAAAGGGGCTCCTGAAGCCCTGGGAGGAGCAGGTGACCAACCCTGTGGGGCAGTGGCCCAGAGACATCTAGGCTAAGGACAGACATTCAAAAAGCCAGAATCTGAATTGATTCAACCTTTGATTCATCCTTTGTAGGTTAGTCTAACCTGCCTAGGCTGAACTGGTTTGTAACTGGACAAACATTTGCTCTGGACAGAGGCACATGCCTGCAGTTGCTCAGGCCAGGTGCCAGGGTGTGCTACAGTGAGGCAGACTAACCCCTGTCCCTATCCCCCCTCTCCCACCAGGGGCTCTGCCTGGCCATGCCCCCGCAGCAGCTCTACCAGCCCCACAGCACGGCCCCTGCCATGTAGGGGCTTATGCTCTGGGAATTCGTGACGGGCTGCTGCCCATCACTTCACTTGCCACTAGCCACTCCAGCTGCCGGGCAGGGGCAAAGCCTGGCCCCCTGGCACTCATTCTGTGCTGGGCAAGTCCTGGAGGGGTTACCTTGCAACCTGGACTCCTAGCCAGTGGCTGCTCCTCCCTTTATTCCCCCCAAGCTTCACCTGCAGCCCAGCCGGGCAGACCTCACTGCAGTGTCAGTGACTGAATAAGTCAGGGGGCTTGCCCCAAGCAGAGAGAGGCCACTCACACTGGAGTTGGGTCTGCCCGCCTGGCTGCAGCCTCTGCTTGGCCTGTGCTCAGGGCTGGTGGATGAATAAGTCCCTTCCTGCTGGGAGGGGTTTTGCCCCAGCACAGAGAGGTGGTGGCGGCTGGGCAGGCCCTGCAGCAATGCAAGCGGTTTCTCTCTGCTTGGGGCAAGCCCCGTCCAAACAGGAAGGGGTTTATTCAGCTTGGGCTGGGGAGCAGAGGAGCAGAGCCAGCCCTACCAGGCTGGAGCAGAGAGCCTTTCCCAGCCCAGAGAACATGCTGGGATGCTGAGGGTCTTTGGTTTATCGTAAAGCAGCAAGGGGTCTGGGACAGACACTGCATAAACCAGTTTGAGCCAAATCAGTTAAGTCTGATACTATATTCAACCAGGTTTTTCTCAAACTAGTTTAAGCCATTTTGAAACTGGTTTCTTTATGTGCACTGAATGTCTGTTCTGTTACAGGTTTAAACCAGTTTCTGATCACCTAAACCGTTTTTTGTGTAATGTCTGCCCCTATCCCCAAGGACACTGATGAGGTGGATCAATTGTGAAAGAATGCATCCTGGTGCATCTCATCCCACAATATCTGTTTATACCCTATAGATAATAATTTTGCTCTTGTCATTTCATGATTCCCAAACTCTCCTGTAAATCTGGCTATGCAAACTCTTCAAAGGTGAGGGTAAGTATCTGTTCACAAAAAAGTACAAAGGCATTCATTGCACAGCTACTGAAAGAAGTTTTTTGACATAATATAAGAGTGATCCAACTTAAATGTTTCTGAAACCCCTTTGCACTAAGTGGTTTGTGGTAGCTTTTGAATAGGTGAACCTTGAACAGAACTATCAAAGAAATGCATGGCATTTATTGAATAAAAAGAGTTTTTCTTTCATACACCTTCATCATTTTTTTTCTGTTAAGTCTTAGTGTTCCTTACTTTAACTTTACATTTTTTTCCTGAACTCTTCCACAGATTTTTGTTTGGAAGAAGTAGTTCTGACTTTCATCATTGAACAAATGTCCAAAGTACTGCCTGAACAGTGAGCAGGCTGCTGACTGCAGATCATTTTTATGATGCTTGCCAATCATGGAATAATTTAATCAGCATATGTACTTTGCAGATGGTGGTGCTGAATTGGACATTTAAGAGGCTGAAGGATTTATTTGATTTAAGCACATGAATTTACCTGAATCAGAGCACCCAAAATACATCCTCATATCTATAACATTTAATCAGCATCAGAGACAGTTGATGGTAGGGAATGGCTATCAAGGACTAGAGCTAGTAGAAAGACAAAAGACCTATGTGGAGATGGTGCTGCTAGCATCCTGGGAACTATACAAATTTGGGATCAGGTCCTCCAGCTTAGAAACAGAGGAAATAGGACACAGGATGATTCTATTAGATTACTTGAGGATGATGTCTTTCTTGTGAAAAAGAAGAAATAATATGGCCCTTGTTTTCCATACTCAGGCAAGCTCCCATTAAAGACACAGTGACAAGGTCCCTCACTAAAGGCTCTTAAAAGTTCCCATAGGATTTGACAAAGGTTCTTTCATGTGAAAGGAGCTAGCAGGGTCGCTGTTCAACAAGCACAGAGGGCTGTTAGGCCTCTTAACCTGTTGGTTTGATTTTTTTTTTTTTGTAGGCCAAAAAGGGTCTGTACTCTGGGTATTGACAAACCCTGGCCCCACCTGGAGAGCAATACAGCAATAATCACAAAACACCAGGATAAGGATCAAATGGAAAAGTGTATATTAAACAAATTCACTAATCAACACCAATAACAACAAAAGCAGCAAAACAGAATCACAGAACAACCCTTGTATTTACAAGAGAGAATCAAACAACACCAACATAGTACCACTAGATGACAGTAAAGAGCACTCAGGCCTAATGTAGAGAATGGGCATTTATACACATAACTTTTCATCCAGCAACACAGTGGAGATCTGGTGGGTCAGAGCAGACTCAATCAAGTCTGCTTGTGACAGCTGAATGTGTTGTAGGGCTTGCTACCACTGCCCTAAGCTCGTCTGCCTACAGGCCGCGACAGGATGGACCTTGGCTTTGGATCACCTGGTCTGCCAAGAAGTTGGTCTTATGTTTTCTCATCTGCCATGACTTTGATTAAATATACTTCCAGGAGACACTGCCCTCGGTGATCCTGCCTGGTCTCAATCCCTGTTTCTTCTGTGGGGCTCCAAACCGCCCCTTTACCCCAGCCTAGATGGTACTCACAAAACCCTTCTGCAGCCAGGTCGCAGTGCTGCCAATTGTGGTATTGTTTGGTCCTCTAGCCCCAGGGTGACCTTTGGTCTTGATTAGGTACACCCTTCCAGGGCTGGTATTGACCTGTGTTCAAATATCAAAAAGAAAAGGCAAAAAAACCCAAGGAAAACCACGGCTGCTCTCAGCTTCCTTGTTGGGCTCAGTCCATGTCCCCTTTTACCCGGGATCAGGTTCTCAAAATCCCAATCACAATGATCAAGACAATCCCTTAGTCCAGTCTTTGCTATGTGCCAGCCTGCCCTGCACACCTAGGAACATTCACATTCTCCTTGGGGTCTCCCCCATGTGCAGGAAGGCTCTACCTGTAACTGTAGTTTCCCTCAGGCCCCTCCTCTGGATCCTCTGTTGAAACTCCGCTCCAGAGATTATTACAGACCTTGTGGATTCCCTCTCTCTGTGATTCTGCTCCGGAGATTATTACCAGCCGCCTATGTGCAGGCCTCCACCTGCCTCCTGCTCAGGGTCACTCCCACAGCATTCCTCTGGCAAGTTCTGCAGCCCCTGCCTGCCAGGACACTCAGCTACTCCTCTCTTCCTGCCTTGTGCAGGGAACTGACTCCCCTCCCCTGCCCTTCTCCAGGGCTGGAAATGCCTTTGGGCAGCCTCCCTCCTCCAATCCTGAGTGAGATGCTGCTCCGGAAGTGTGGTGGGTATTTTCCTTCCCTTCTGGTCTCCAGCTGCAGCCCTGCCAGTCCTCCATGCTGTGAGTTTTGTCTCACTCCCTCACACTGCTCTGCACACGAGCTGATGTGTACAGCACTGAGACGTGTGCAGTTGTATAAGTGGCAAAATGTGCATCAGCACATAGAACATGTCAGCAGTGTACTTTTGAACTAGAACATCTCTGATATGTTTTATTTCAAAAGCATGCCGCCACCATTTTCTCAGCACTGATGTGCATTTTGCCACTTATACAATTGCATGTGCTGCAGTGTGGGGCACTTTTAAAAGCATCTGGAAGTGTGGCACATGCATATGTAAAAATGCCCCTCCTCCCCCGGCAGACCCTGGCTGAGTTCTGGGGTCAGGGAGGAGGGTTAAATCCCCTTTTTCCCTGAGTACAGAGCTGCCCTGCTGCTAAACTTACTGAAAGTTCCTGCTGGCTGTGACTGTGGACTACAAATCCCAGAGGCACCTGGAGCAGGAAGAGGAAGTGGTGAGCAATCCTGCAGAGTCCTGTTGCTGTGATGCTGGACTGCAAATCCCAAAGACCTCAAGGGCAGCAAGAAGAGGAAGTGCCAGAAAGTTGTACTGTAGTGTCTCCTTTCCCCCTGCCCTCGCCTGACTTCTGGCCTAAGCCACTGCAGGCATGTGGCTGCAGTTCCTGAATCAAAGGTAAATGTGTGTCCAGTTGTTTTTCAGTTTAATCTTTGCAGCTTAGACTAACCTGCCAAGACTGAATCGATTCAGCCTCAGGCTTTCTGATTGTCTGTACTCAACCTTACTCAACACGCACTGTTTTGCCAAACAACATTCTGGTCATGTCAAACACCACTCACGGGATCTCAATCATGCACCATTCCAAATGCACACTGAGGTACTGGCTCACACAGAGTTTTATATCATTCCGATCATGCCACCTGTCAATTATGTCTTTCAATCAATCATCAATAACAGCACTCTGTCAATCACCCATCCATCACTGCTGGACCACTCAAAACTATTTTCACATTATGCTTCATTAACATATTTTTCCCACCACAGCAGTTATATAACTATGATAGACTGTGCATGCTCAAGGCAAATTAATGCATGTATCTTATAGTTTCATAGTTTCATAGTAGCTAGGGTCAGGAGGGACCTGAACAGATCATCTAGCCTGACCCCCTGCCACAGGCAGGGATGAATGCTGGGGTCCCAAGCCCCCGACAGGTGATCGTCCAACCTTCTCTTGAATTTGCCCAAGGTAGGGGCAAGGACCACCTCCCTGGGAAGTTGGTTCCAGATTTTGGCCACCCTAACTATAAAATATTGCCTTCTGATCTCCAGCCTAAACCTATTCTCCATCAGCTTATGACCATTGTTGCTTGTCACCCCAAGTGGTGCTGGGGAGAAAAGAGCTCTGCCTATTTGCCTTGATCCTCCTTGATGAGCTTGTAGGCAGCCACCAGGTCCCCCCTCAGCCGCCTCTTGCTGAGGCTGAACAGGTTCAGGTCCTTCAGTCTCTCCTCATAGGGCCTGTCCTGCTGCCCTCTCACCAAGCGGGTGGCCCTCCTCTGAACCCTCTCCAGGCTGGCCACATCCCTTTTGAAGTGCAGTGCCCAGAACTGGACACAGTACTCCAACTGTGGCCTGACCAAAGTTGCATAGAGGGGGAGTATCACCTCTCTGGACCAGCTTGAGATGCACCTTTGCATGCATGACAAGGTATGGCTGGCCTTGCTGTGTCATGACATCATTGAGGGTAGACGTTCAGGCTTGCTAGAACCTTCAGACCCTCTAGTCATGCTCTTACACAACACAGGGCAGCGTCTGGGGTCTACACATGGGCTGAAAGGAGGTTAAAAGATAGGAAACAAAGGGTAGGGCTACATGGTCACTTTTCCGGATAGAGAAAGGTCAGTAGTGGGGATCTGTACTAGGTCCAGCATTGTTCAACATTTTCATAAATGACCTGGAAAAGGAAAATTCACAATGAAATCTCAAACTTTGCAGATGATGCCAAAAAATTTTGGGTAGCTAAATCCCAAGCTCGTGGCAAGCAGCTGCAGAAAGATTTCACAAAGCTACATAAGTGGGCAAAAAAAATGGCATTTCAAAAATTAGCTCAACTATATGTACACATTGCTAGGCTCTGAATTAACTATTACCACTCAGAAAAGAGACCTTGGAGTCACTGTACATAGTTCTCTAAACATATTAGCTCAATGTGCACAGGCAAGCAAAAAGTTTGGGCATCTTTAAGAAGAAAATTGAAAGTAAAATAGAAATCATTATGCCACAATTAATCCATGGTGCCCCTATATCTTGAATATTGTATGTAGTTCTGGTCTCCACCTCTCGAAAAAGATGTAGTGGAATTGGAAAAGGTTCAGAGAAGGGCAACAAAGTTAACCAATTGCCAAACCAGGAGACACTAAAAAGGCTAGGACTCTTTATTTTGGAAATGAGTAAGCTGAAGAGGGGATATAATTGATATCTATAAAATATTGAAGGGCATGGATAAGTTAATGGGGAACTATTATATACCAAGTCCTCTAATACTAGGATTAGGGGACAACCATTTAAATTAACCAGATATAGTTTTAAAATAAACAAAAGGAAGTGCAGTATATAGTTAACTTGTGGGTCTCATGGCTAAAGGTGGTTGTAAAGGTATATAGAATAACCAAGTTCAAAAAATGATTTGACAAATTTATGGAGGACAGGTCCATTAATAGCTATTAAATACAGCAGTCCGGGGTGTATCTTCTGACATCCCTAAACCAATGGTGGTTGATGTCATGGATGGTATGACTGCGTGAATCACTCTAGACATAGACTTATAGAAAAATAGGGCTAGAAGGGACCTCACAAGGTCATCTTGTCCAGCCCCCTGCTCAAGGCAGCATCATCCCTGACTAAACCATCCCAGTCTTGTTCCGTGCCTTGATGACTGAAGTTATGTGTGTATCCAGGGATCAAACCCTGTCACCCGTGTTGAAGTCAAGGTTTCTACTACTAAACTGCAACAGGGGTGTTACTGGTTATATGGACACTACAAAAAATGTAATATTTGTTGAATAAGAACAAATAAGACTCATTTGAATATGAAATGCAAAATAATTCCTCATAATGTTGATGACACATATATATCCCTATACATACCAACAATAATAACTTCAGTTGTGTCATGGAAAGAGCTTGTTTGCATCAACACTTACCTAAATGGTTGACCCATAATTGTAAACAGCTCCTTCCACTCTTCTTTAAACAGCACGCTTTTAGCTAGATCTGAAGAATAAATATGGTAGCAGTTGGGGACATGAAGGGAAAGCATCTCAGCCATCGTTGCAGAAACCATTCATGCATAGCACATATTTATATTTTAGTATGAAATTCCAAATCCAATTACCAAAAAGCACAGTAAATTTGCACTAAAGTAAAATCAAACAGACCCTTACCAGAATCCTACTCATTTTAATCTTTTATATTACCTGCAGTATAGTATGTTCTATAACACATGTTTTGCAGAGAAAAAAATAACTCCATTCCTTTTAGGTTGGTAAAGGCATGGGCAGATGAACAACGTTATTGCTTTAAAAGGTGGAAGGGTCAGCTGAATCTGCTGTAAGGGTGTTGTCTATATCAGGGTTTGGCAGCAGAGTGCCAAAAACACCTGCAAATACCTTTGGACAGAGTGCCAAAAGCACCTGCAAACTCAGCTTGTAAGATGTTGGTGTGCCAGGGGTGGATAGTGGGGGAGCCTCAAGGGGCCCAATCCTTGTTGTGGCAGTGCAGCCCTGGCCACTTCCCTGCTGTCTGCCCCAAGGTGTGTGTGCCAAGCAAAGTGCATTCACAACCACACTCTGGTACCTGTGCTGGGGGTTGCCTACCCCAATCTACATTTTCCTATCCTGCGGTAGTAAAGTTGAACTAGGGAAACTTACCTTTAAATGAAACAGGATTCATTTATTGTAATTTAACTTCATTTATGGGGGATAGTCAGGGACAAATGAAATATTCACAGTGGATCAGCTGATGCACAGTCACAAGTAGTAAGTCTCCCCGTATTTTTAAAACAGTGTAACTGTTCATCAGTCCAGACACTAAGCAATGTTCTTGATGCAAGAGACTGAATTATAGTTTGTTAGTGTTTATTGAGTGCCACCAGTGTTGGTGCTGCACAAAGAAAAAATGAATATCTCTGGTCAGAGGAGTTTACAATCCAAGGCCTCAATTTCACAAGAATTTTGTGAGGTAGACCTTTGCATACTTGGGCTTTTATAACATGCACTGGTATTGTTGCCTTGGGGTATTTGTAGATGACATGGGGGGTTAAATTGAAGCGGTGTTTTTTTTAAAACACCGCTTCAATTTAGGGCAAAGTAAACCCCTGTGTTGTGTACACCCGTGTCAGAGCCCAATCCTTAACTGCCTCTCCAGCAATGGGGAGGGGAGAAAGAGCTGCTGGCGGGCTGAGCAGTCAGTGAACTGCAGGGGGGAAGAGAGTGGGTGCTGGTGCCTCCATCTGTGGCAGCAGCAGCCCCCCAGGCAGCACCCGCCCTCAGGCACCCAGCTCAGGTGGTCCTGGGGGGCACCACAGCTGTAGAGGCAAGTACCAGGACCCCACGCCGCTCAGGCAGACAGGCTCCAGGGAGGTGGGGGGAAGGCTCACTCACTGCTTTTTTTTTTTTCCTTTGGTGCAGCCTGCCTTCCTGGGCGGCTACCAGGCTGCCTGCTGGGGCTGTCTGCACAGCACCTGAGCCGTGTGGAGCCTGGTGATTCCCTCTGCAGCTGTAAGATAGCAAACTAAAACTCCTTGGAGGCCTTTTAGTATTTCTGTGCCCCAAAGTCATTTGCTGCACCCCAAAGTCATTTAAGGCACATTACACTGCCGAATTTGCTACAGCAGCTGAAATTAATACGCTGAATTTGCAAACTTGTGCAAACAGCAACATCATTAAAGCAGTGCAAAATGGCATTTAACCCCCTTCAATGTGTCGTCTACAAATGCCCTTGTATTTTAAATGTACATTTTGTACATGCCTTGAAGAAAGAAAGATCCCTTTCTCTTCAACTTTGCTGGAATTCACTGATCCTGACAATGCAGGCATCTCAACTTCCTGAATTTGGTGAAAGTATGTGCGAACACTACATAAAACCCTGTCCATTGCAAGTAACATACAACTATTAGCACGTCTGTCGATTCTAGTGCATTGAATGAAGAGAAGCTGGTACTGATACTGTGTGGCTCACTGGCTTGCTCCCTCAGAAATTATTCACTTTATTTTGTAATATTAAATAAGGAGATAATTTCAAGAGGGTCCTAAAACCATAGTTTATGAGCCAGAAATCTGTGAAACTTCTCAAACATGTTCTTGTGAAATGTCATGTCTGCTCCCTTATCTCATAATTATGGCCAAGATAATCAGAACAAGCTTTTCCTTCTCCTCTGATTCTCTTCAGTCTCTTGCTTTTCCTGACTTTGCTTCTCCTCAGTCTACAGCTTCTGTTTTTCCTTTTACCTTCTTTGCTTTCCCTTCGTACTCTGTACTGTATACATGGCATGTGCCTTCTGCACTTCCATTAGTATCCCTCCTCCATTGTTGCAATGTCTTCAAATTTGGAATTCTGTCATGGATACAGTGAAGACATGGATACATGTCTTCACATCAGCGGTGGCCCAGAGAGCC